ATAACAAATTTTTAATAAGTAATTTTTCCGCAGATTGGAACAATTTCATTTATCATTCTACTCTGAATTTAAAATTATTTAGGACTTTATTTATAAGATGGAATCCAAACTCCTTGGCTTGGCATTTAAGGCCTACATGTCCTTTTTTATTTTTCTTTTATTCTCACCATGACCTCTCAGTGTCAGAAAAACAATGAGTTGTATACTGGTCTCAGACTTGTTCAAACTAACATGGTCTTCTATTTGTTAAAAAAAACAAACAAACAATTTAAAAGAATGTATAAAATTATGATTCTCATGGAGATATAAAAATGAACATGTTTTAAACAGTATAACCTATTTGTTGGTCAGTGAGAGACTTTTTTTTTTTTAAGTACCAGGAATGGAACCCCCAGGGACACTTAAACACTGAGCCACATCTCCAGTCCTTTTTTTTTTTTTTTTTTTAAATATATATATTCTATTTTGAGACAGGGTCTTGCCAAGTTGCTAAGGGCCTTGTTAAATTGTTGAGGCTGGCTTTGAACTTGCAATCTTCCTGCCTTAGTCCCCAAGCCATTAGGATTACAGGTGTATGTCCCTAACACCCTGCTCAGGCAGATGTTTTGATTGGTTTAAAAGAGAATCCTAGCTCTTACCCCACCCCCGCCGCCCGCCCCCGCCCCGTCTGGGTTCTCAGGGTCCGGGGCCCTGGGGACTCCGGATGCAGGCGGGGGCGGGGACGCGGTCAGCCGGGGCCATGCGAGCTGAGGGCTGAAGCCGACTTGCCCCGGGTGGCCCGGCAGCCCCTGGGCGACGCGTTTAGGGGCCGGTTCCGGCCGCGCATCCTCCGCGGGGTCGGTGAGGCCAGGTGTGGGCAGCTCGGCTGCCCCGCGCAGGAATGTTTTAAAGGAAGTTGGGCTACGCACAAGTTACTACATAAGAAAGCAAAAGATGAAAAGGCAAAGCGGGAAGTGTCTTCCTGGACTGTAGAAGGTGATATAAACACTGACCCCTGGGCAGGTTATCGATATACTGGTAAACTCAGACCACATTATCCACTGATGCCAACAAGGCCAGTGCCAAGTTATATTCAAAGACCGGATTATGCTGATCATCCCTTAGGAATGTCTGAATCTGAACAGGCTCTTAAAGGTACTTCTCAAATTAAATTACTCTCATCTGAAGACATAGAAGGGATACGACTTGTATGTAGGCTTGCTAGAGAAGTGCTGGATATTGCTGCTGGGATGATTAAACCAGGTGTAACTACTGAAGAAATAGATCATGCTGTACACTTAGCATGCATTGCAAGAAATTGCTATCCTTCTCCCCTGAATTACTATAATTTCCCAAAGTCTTGTTGTACTTCAGTGAATGAAGTCATTTGCCATGGAATTCCAGACAGACGACCTTTGCAAGAAGGTGATATTGTTAATGTGGACATCACTCTTTATCGCAATGGTTATCATGGGGACCTGAATGAGACCTTTTTTGTTGGAGATGTGGATGAGGGAGCACGGAAATTAGTTCAGACCACATACGAGTGTCTTATGCAAGCCATTGATGCAGTGAAACCTGGTGTTCGATACAGAGAATTGGGAAATATTATTCAGAAGCATGCTCAAGCAAATGGATTTTCAGTTGTTCGAAGCTACTGTGGGCATGGAATACACAAGCTTTTTCATACAGCTCCCAATGTACCCCACTATGCCAAAAACAAAGCAGTTGGAGTGATGAAATCAGGCCATGTGTTTACAATTGAGCCAATGATTTGTGAAGGTGGATGGCAGGATGAAACCTGGCCAGATGGTTGGACTGCAGTGACAAGAGACGCGAAACGGTCTGCTCAGTTTGAGCACATGCTGCTGGTAATGGACACTGGCTGTGAAATCCTAACCCGGCGACTTGATAGTGCGCGGCCTCACTTCATGTCCCAATTTTAATTTCTCCTAAGATGGCACATCTCAGTAATGCCTTCTTACTGTACTATGCATTTTATTGAGAGTACAGAAAGGATGAGGCAATTTTTTATCACTTGTTTTGTTTTGACTATAGATAAGGAAGGACACAGCATTTGATATGTATCTTCAAGAGCTTGTCTTGGGTCTGAAAAAGCTGAGAAGAATAAAGGAAACCTTGTTCAACTCCTTTCAGTACCCCCTCCCCATCCCAGCCCCCTTCCCATTCTCTGCATACCCGTTTTCTTATTTGCCCCTTGAGCACTTTTTCTTAGACCTGCTTCTATAGTTGCTTTAATCACTGCCACAAACTGGCTATCAGGAGCCAGCTGCTTTCCAGGCGAATGTTGAAGATGAGAATCCTTGAAACTTTAGCAACACATGTTGCTCCAGATTTTTTAAATTATATATATATATATGGAAATATATATGCATACATTTTAAATTCCATGTATGTAATTACCGAACACTATGTGACCTTGGTTTGGGTTGATTCTGCTCTGACAGGGTTTTTTGCTGTCATAAGTGGATCTATAGTTTGTAGAGATTTAATTCCTAGTTGGGAATTGGCCTCCTCCCTTCCTAATGCTAATTATTTATCCTGGTAATTGTGTGTAGGGAAGCACTCACTCAGTGAGACTTTCTCTCCAATGTGGACTCTGTGTCAGTGAATGAATGTGGTAAAATTCACTTTGGAAGAAGGTTATCAGGCTTTTTAAAGTCTAGTTTATGACAAAAATAGCTATGCTCCATGTGGTGGCTGGCTGTTGCGGGGCACAGGAATTTGTAATACACTATTTTCAGACCTTTATTTGGTCAGAAATGGGAGGTAGAAAACCTCCTTTTTTCCCTCTCTTTTATTTCAAGGGCATACCTTGAAGATACTCAGAGAAGGGTGGAGGTTGCACTGTAGAGGGTGATGGGTAAAGAGTTCTGAGATGTCTCTAGCTGTGAGCACAGTAAGTCAGGTGGGCTGTGAGAGTAATCCTGACAGTGAAGAGAAAGGAACTTCTTTGAGTACTGTAACCTGCAGTAGGGATGCAGCTGTCCTTGGTTTGCTGGGAATTAAAAAATAAAAATAAAAATAAAAAAACCGCCTCACCTATGCTTAGTTGACTCATTAGCAGTGACCTCAGCTGCCCAGTGTCTGTGTTCCTTTCAGCAACTGTCCAAATAGAAGTTTATCCAGTGAAGAGGAATCAGATCATCAAGTCCTTGTTAGTGTGTACTTGATTACTGGGTATCTGATAACTTTCTGGTAATACAATTTGATGCCACTGACACATATCCTTGTAAGAGAACATCTTTCCCAGAGTGCCTCAGACCTTATTGCTTTAAGAGAATTATGATATGTTTTCATTACTTTTATTATTTTAATGATTTACTAAAGTGACTGAATCTGGTATAGACTTTTTGGGGGTATGTGTGAAGTTTTTATCAATTTGTAATATTTGTGAATGGAATGCCTTGTAATATGGATGTTAATATAATGTGTAAAGGGAGATTAAAAAGTTTGATTATCCCAAAAAAAAAAAAAAAAAAAAGAGAATCCTAAAAACAGACACATTTTTAGACCAGAAATATTCAAATTAATGTGAAAATAAAGGCAACATTGATTTTTTTTTTTCCTACATGGATAAAAGGAAGTCATTTGAAGTACAGACAGGGCCAGGATGTAGCTTAGTGGTAAAGCACTTGTGTAGTATGAATGAGGTCCTGGGTTCAATCCCCAGTACCACACATACAAAAAAAAGATAGGACAAATTTTACATGTCTATAGTCAAAAATTATTTGGCCTTGTTATCACTTATTTACAATGTACAGAGTTGTAAAATAGCTCAAAGACAAAGTGTAGAATCAGATAACCATATGTTGTCTGTAGATCCTGCAGTTTCCATAAGGTAAATTTTCCCTACACACCTGGTTTTGTTTTATCCTTTCTTTAAGCCTATTTAATCTCTAGCTGTTCTCTAGTGACCTTCAATACTTATGGAAGCTCATTTTCTCTTTGTATAGTTCATAGAGAGTTTATTGTCTTATTTATTTACCATTTCCTGTATTATATAGTACTTTTAATCATTATGTTTTAGTATATTTTTATCAACACACCATTCATAAGATAATTTTAAAGGCCGACAGTGCATCAAATGGTAGGTACTTTGTGATTATTTGGTGCTTAAACTTAATGTATTCTCTCTCATCTTTATTATGATTCAAGTTTCTTAACTCTCTGCCACTCCCTCCAACACTGTCACATGCAGCATAACCATATTTTCCTTAGTCTGGAATTACTGAATACTGAATATTGGGCACCCCAGCCAAAAATCAGTACATTCCACTAAAAATAAAACCCAACCCTCTCTCTGAAAAGCCTTCAGTAATCTTCTATGTATAAAGTTCAAGATTTAAACAAAGGTGATTTATACCTAACATTTAATAGCTATTTTTAATTTCTATCCATTTCTAACACATTTCCACTTAATCCACTGATTATGGAACATGGGGAGGAGCAATTGAATTTCTCAAGGAAAGGAAGGATGTTTTCCTCTTCCAAAATACAACTCCTACATTAAGTTTACAAATCATGCACAAAGCTATAATGTTCAGAAGAATAATTATGTTTATCTCATCAATTTTGAGTTTTATTTTCTCTGCTGGTATTAACAAGTAGATTTCATGTTAAAAAATTCTTGATTTTTAATTTACTTTCAATTTTAGCTACATTTGTCTAGTTATCTATAAATAATGTTTATTTTTTATAAGTACTAATTACAAAACTCTTTCTTTAGGTGAGAGATGTTGACAAACATTATATAAAACCAATTACGAAGTGTGAAAGTAGTACACAGACAGATACACATATACTGCCACCAACAATTGTGAGAGCATATGAATGGAATGAATGGGAATTAAGAAGAAAAGCTATAAAATTGGTTTGTGATAATATTTTTTAAAATTATTCACAACTTGAGTAATTTTAATGTGTTCATAGATTTGATAAGTTATTTATATAAAATGAGTCCTGTACAGTTATTTGCTAACATAAAAAATTATGTTAGCCAGCTTTACTTGGTAAGATTGTCTTCCAACTTTAAGCATATATAAAGATACAGAAGCATGAAACTACTCTCAAATGATATCTACCAGTAACTACAAAGTGTCTTAATAGTTTTAAAACTCGGAGCTAGTTTGTAAAGCTCTCTTAACTTATTCTAATCATTTAAAGCATAGCCTTCAGTTTGGGAACTTTTTAGGTTAAATCATCTATTTTCTCCTCTTACTGTCAACCTTTTTTGTTGAGACGCTGGACTATCATCCTTTTGATTCTCAGTCACCTTAATCACAACAAGTGCCTTATTCTTAAAGCCTGTCTTTGAAACTCTCATCCCTATCCAACTCAGTGAAATCCCCCCAACTTGTATCTATTTATAGTATCTTATAATTTTAAACATCAAGTAGTTACAGTATGAATGAAATAATTTTTAAAAAATATTTGTAGCATTTTGTTAGTATGTTTTACCCATTTCTTTAACTGAAATCAGGTGTGGAAATAAATGAAGCTGTCTCAAATGTGAATCCATGGAGATTGTTTACTCAGAGATAGCTGGGGCAAGGGAGTCAGCATCATTACTTGAGTTTGGCAAACTTAAAAAGCAGTCAGGGAATGGAAAAACTATAGTGAGAAAAGGGGAAAAATTTTAGTTTTCTTGGATGAGGTTGATGATATGGGGAAACTGGAGGCAAGCTAACAAGAAGCAGGGCATCTTATGAGATCTGGTTTGGTGAATATATTTGACTTTCTTTGGTTAGTTATGAGTTGGGGCCAAAAAAAAGGGGGAAGCTGGCCAAGTCCTGCCCATTCTGGGCCAGTTGCTATAGCTACATAGGTTGTCTTTTGGGTTCCCAGACTGGTTGATGTAGAGGTATTGAGTCAGAGAGTTCAGTTGTCATATATGATCTAGCCTTTGTTCCTCTTACATATTCAGCCTCTAACAGCCTTCCCACTAATTAACATCATTTCTGTTGCCACCCTCTCTGGTGGTAGCTTTTAAGTTACCCGATTTCCTGGGATGAGGAAGGATCAGCTTCCTCATATATATATTTCAGACCAGTGTTCCATTAGCATTCCTGTCAGTTACTCTTCTGTAGAAATGCCCACTTTCCCATATTCTTTTCTGTTATTTACTAAACTCACTTTAGTTCATCAAACACTTACTGGGTAACACTACCTTGTTCTTCAGGGGCTAATTGTCTAGCAAGTGATACTGTTACACTAAAAACCTTGGAAAGTGGTATAAGAGAAGTGAAATAAAAATTCTGCTAAATTAGGTAACACCTTAAGTTGGTCTTGAAATACAAAGAGTCAAATGTAGGGAACAATGGCAGGACATGATTTTGAGAGGAAGAGGGGGCAGGATAGGTATGGGCTGGAAATGTTAAGGCAAATATATTCAGAGGGCTAAACTTCACATTCCTATCCCTAAATCACCACTTAATTCTTATTTCCATCTTAGACCTAATTATCCCCTAGAATTGCATCATGTTGAATGCCATGCTTCCTGAGTATTACCAATCCATCCTGTTGATTAGACAAAGCTAAGTTTACTGTTTTATAGCTGCCAGGGAGATACCACCTCAACAGAACATTGGCAGTGTCTCAGAGGAGGAGTAGCAAATTCAGAATTTATTGAGAATCTTAAGTTTGTTAAGGCAGGTCTTTTGATGCCTTAGGTGGGTTAGAGGGTTGGATGGGGGTCTGAATAGTTTTGGGTAGGGATCAAGAAAAAGCAGTCCAGCATTGGTGGGAATTACAAAATGAAGATTTTTGAGATAAAAGATAAAAAGAATCTTTGAGCTTAAACTGTGTTTTGATGCTTACTACTGAAGAGTTGACTGTCTTTTAGGATGTTCTTTAATAAACAGTCAAGTGATTTACTTGGGCAAGAGGCTCTTGGAATTGTTAAATTATGCTAGTGAAGACAATGAAATAATAAAATCACATTAATGTAAACTGTGTGTGTAGAGGAAGTAGTTTGGATTCTCAGTCTCCCAAACTCTGAATGTGTTTCCTTTAATCCCAGGTGTTTCCTTTAGTCACCTTCTTCACTTACACACTCTAATGCCTTCTGAGGTTTTCCTTGGCCTTTTGCATAATCTGATCAATCATTAGCCTCCTTATTTTTTCTTTTCAGCACTAGGGATTGAACCCAGGGCTTCACACAAGGTGGGCAAGTGCTCTACCTCTGAGCTACACCCCCACCCTTATCTTCCTTTTAATTATCTTCTCTTTGCTTCCCAACTTGTGTAATATGTTTAACCTCATGTTTATTAATCAGGGGAGTAAGCAAAATGAAGAATAATGTAAAATATAATCTGAAAACAACAGTTTTTTAATACTAAAACAGGGTGAAGACCATTTTATAGACAATATAAATCTGAAACTTTTATCTTTAAAAAAATAAAACAAGTTTGGTGGAAAAAATCCAGGTCATATGAATCTCAAAATATAATAATAAAGGAATTAGAAATATTTAAAAAATTAATTGAGCTCATTGTAACTGGATCTGTATGTTCTTTTTAGGGTCCATTTTCCACATTTTATATATTTTTCTACTTCTTAGTAAAGGACATTTAATTTTCTATTATGTTTTAAATTTTCTAACATTCTGATATTTTATAGAAAAATGCTATGTTGGATTTCCAGCTCTGGGGCCCTTTCTCTCCAGAGAAGTCTAACTTTGTATCTTTATTGCTTGTACAATAAACCTACTTCTTGCTTGCTAAAAAAAAAAAAAAAAAAAAAACCCAAAAACACACACACACACACAAAAAAAAAAAAAACCCAGAAAAAACAATGACAAAAACGAAAAAGAGAAAAATGCTATGTTAATCAGTAGAATAGAAAGAGGGAATGGGGGAGAGATGAGGAGGTACTGGGGAATGAAATTGACTGAGTTATATTGTTATATGAATGTACAAATATGTAACAGTGAGTTCTACTATTATATGTAATTATAATGTACCAATAAAAAATTTAAAAAATTAAACTCATATTCTGATTTCTCTTAAATAACTCGTAAATAAAAATGCTGTTACAGGATTAAATTTTTGTCAGTTGAAAAAAAGATAGGCAGATAATTAATTGTACGTGATGATATTTCATATTCTGTTCTTCAGAGAAATGTTAATTCCTGTTTTCTTTTTTTACTTAGGCCAATTTGCGTCAGAAAATTACTCACTCAGTACAAACTGATCTTAGTCACATGAGAAGAGAAAATTGCTCACAGGTGTACCCTCTCAAAGATGCTAGCACCCAGTCGAATAGGGAGGGCAGCACTCGAGTACCCAAGCCCCAGATTTACATAGCTGGTCTTCGAGGGGGACGAAGCAAAACTACCCATGCAGTCAAGGTGAACCTAACAAGAGCTGTTGATGAAACCTAGAGGAAGACCATATTTTTGAAAATGTTACCCAATTTTGAACAATGACAAATACCTAAAAGTATTTTTACCTCCATGAAAATTAATTTTGTAGAAGGTGGCACATGCTAATGCTACAACAAACTAGAAGTTATTTTCTGTAACACCTTTTCATTGTATTAAAATTGGGAAGTCAAATTCTGTCCTTTTGTCTTTGTTTTATCTTTTAGAAAAAGTTTGGCAGCGCAAAGATTGAAATTATTATGCCATTTAGATAATAATAATAAGATAATGTCACTAGAATTGGAGACTATTTATTTCTAAAATTGCATTTAATGTAAAACATTAAAATTTTAAAACCCAATCAATATTTTCAGTTTTACTAGCTATGTAATGATAGCATAGATTAAATTGCTGTATAATAAAATCTTACTGTTTGGAACAATTAGAGCAAAGGTCTGCAAGATGACTCTTTGGTTTTTGGTACTGGGGATTGAATCCAGAGACAGTTTACCACTGAGCTAAATCTCCTGTCCTTTTAATTTATTTTTTATTTGAGATGGGGTCTTGCTAAGTTGATGAGGGTCTCCCAAGTTGCCAAGGCTGACCTGACTTGCTTTTGCTTCAGCTTCCTGAAATTATAGGCCTGTGCCACCACCTGGGTAACATAATCACTCTTAAAACCTAGAAATTTTACCTGAAATCTGGATTTCTGGATCTTTGAAAAAAAAAAAAATAGAATGTCTGAGAACACTTGACTAGCATTTCTCTAAATAGTAGCTTTGCCTTTTCACTGAGCACGCCACTTGTAATTCTCCACTGTCTAATTCAATTCCCGGAGCCTTACAGGCCTATTTCATTCCTCTGTTTGTTTGCCCATTCCTGTAGGCAGGTATGTTGAGGGCCCCAATGAATTATTGGTGATCAAACTTATATATATAAATATATATTAACATAACTATATGTATATAACAAGTTATGTATATGCATATATAAAAATATTTATTTATTTTGTGGTACTGGGGATTTAACCTAGAGGGGCTTTACCACTTAGCCATACCCCCAACCTTTTGTTTTTCCATTTTGAGAAAGGGTCTTGCTAAGTTGCAGAGGCTAGCCTTAAATTTATGATCCTCCTGCCTCAGCCTCCCGTGTGACTGGAATTGCAGGTATATGCCACACTTTTGGCTCTGATAGCTAAATTTAAGATCTGTAATTTTACTACTGCCTTACATATTTCTAATTCCAACTCATGGATAAGAAAGGTTCTAGATGGAGGGCCTGTTAAAGTTGCTTTAATAGGTTAATAGTTAGCATATTTTTTCTGCATAAGTGATTTTACTAAGGCATTTGTATAATTGTTTTCTATTTAGGCTAAATGTTATTTATAACATGGATATTCTTTGAAATCCACTTTCAACAGAGATTATAACAAAGAACTTCAAACATACCTACTTGTAAACTGTCATGATTTTCATAACATTAAAAATAATGTTAAAGTAGGTTGGCTTGCTAACTGTTAAGGCAAATCCTTGAGGGGAGGGAAAGATGGAGTGATTGTAGCTATTATTAATCTTAAAAATTAAAAATTTGATTCTTATCTGTTCAGTTTGCCCTCATTTGGTTCTTCAAGATTCTAAAACACAGCCAGGCACAGTGGCACATGCCTTTAATCTCAGCAACTTGGGAGGCTGAAGAAGGAGGATTACAAGTTTGTAGCCAGTTTCAGCATCTTAGACCCTATCTCAAAATAAAATTTAAAAGAACTAGCCAGTGTGGTGGCACATGCTTGTAATCCCAGTGGTTCAGGAGGCTGAGATAGGAGGATCGTGAGTTCAAAGCCAGCCTCAGTAATTTAGTGAGGCCCTAAGCAATTCAGCAAGACCCTGCCTCTTAAATAAAATACAAAATAGGGCTGGGGATGTGGCTCAGTGGTCGACTGCCCCTGGGTTTAATCCCTGGTACTAGGAAAAAAAAAAAAAAAACTAAACATAGAAAAAGAATGGTTGGGGTTATTTTAGGACTGGAATTAGAATGGTCAAATTAACAAAATTAACAAATCCTATTTGAAAAGCCAGCCTTAGTATCAGAAAGTCACTTGGTATATGCAAGAACCAGAATAAAGGGAGCTAGATCAGATTGTAAATGCATCCTCTCCCAGGACCTCCACTGTCTATTCACTCTAAAGATTTCCAGCCCTGGGTTGGACAATGTCAGATTGTTACCGTTATATCAGCATGTCACAGACTGAAATGATTCTCTTTGCCAAATTTCTTTCTTCCTCTTTATTTACTTCTATGATCAAAGGCATCACTCTCTACTCACTAGCATACATTAAAAACTTCTTGATTCTCTTTCTCCCACATTCCCTATGTTTAACTAGTCATTAAGCCATGTTAATTTGGCTTGAGATGTCTTTAAATTTCATGTATTATAACCACTGCTATAGTTCAGGACATTTTCCTATTTTCTAGGTCATTTGCTGCCTCTATTGCTTATATGATTCATTAGGGTAATACCTATATTTAACACATAAATCTGATGATGACACCTGGCCTCTTCCCCTCAACCTTCACCTCATTTGCTTAAAAACCTATTAAGACTCTTGTCCATTACCTAGGAGATAAAGTATAAACTGCTTACCATATTTTATAAAACTTTTCAAAATATGCTTTCCATTATCTTCTAGTTTCATCTTCTGCTCCTCTTATACTTTCTACACATGCCAAGTTGATCCAAAACTCTTCAAATAGGTCATAGTCTTTAATGCCACCACTCTTACACTTCCTCTTCACTGTCACCTGGAATGTTCTCCATAGTCACCATGAAATTTTGTTTGCCATCAATAGCCTGATAAGATTTTGCCTTTCATAGTTAGGTTTTCCCCCATATACTGTGAAAAAATGAATTGCTTCCTTCTTTGGATTTTCATTGGATTTTATTCCTATTATTACCGTAGCCCTTAAAATAAATTAGTGTATAATTTGGTGTTCATCTATATTGTTTCTGTTAGATTGTGAATTTCTTGAGATTTGAACTATTTTAGTCATCTTTATGTCTTTGGCATTTGTATAGTATCTTGTTGAATGAATGATTTTTAAAAAGAATGAATAAAGGGACAAACTAGAACAGGGTTTTGATTAATTATTTTAATATTCAAAAGCAGGAGTTGATAAGGAGTACAGTAATAAAGTGAAATATTACAAAAAGAGAGGGAGTAAAAGAGAGGAAGAGGAGATTATTTTGGGGGAAACTTTGGGAAATCAAAAGGGATAGAATTGGTATACTTTTTGCAGGAGTTTGAGAAAGTTATGTTTGCTTTCTTGTAGTAGGACATTAGGAAACCACTGTAGATTCTTGAACAGAAGACTAATTGTGGGAGAGTGATACTGGAGTTGGTGAGGGTTGCTTGGAAGCTATTGTAAGAATTGGGACATGCAGTGATATATGTGAAGGGACAAATGTTACATTTAATTAAGGGGACATAACATCTCAAGAAAGGGAAGGAAAAAAATTATCTCAAGGTTTCTGCCCTTGGATACCAAGGATAATTGAGAGAGGCACTTGATCAAAAAAGATAAAAATATTCAACACTTAAACATTTAAGTTTAAAGGATCATGAGAATAGTATATAATGAAAGATATTTGGGGCAGACAAAGATAATTTTGGAATGTATCCTCATAGGAATGGGAGAGAATGAGGTGGAAGAGGAGACAGAATACGATGTGTAACAACCAAGAGAGTAAGAAATATATATTAGGAATCTCTGTGGTTACAAAAAAGGGTCTAGCTCTATTTACTAGATGTGTTACTTAATGTCTCTTTGCCACAGTTTCTAGTTTCTTCGGTATAAATGAGGATAGTAATAGTATCTAACTCATTCCGTTGTCAGGAGAATAAATGAGTTAATACATGTGAAGCACTTAAGAGGTAAATGCTTTGTCAACTTAGTCAAGGGAGAAGAGAATCTCCAGCATTAATTTCTACTGTACCCCCTGTCTGAGTCAGGGTTCTCCAAAGGAACAGAACCAATAAAATGAATATGTTTATATAGAATGAATAATAGAATGAATGTGTGTGTGTGTGTGTATGAATGATTGGTTACACTATTGGAGGCTGAATAGTCCCACAATGATTGCATGTTGGAGAGCCAGAGAAACCAGTAGCTGCTCAGTCCAATAAACTGGAAGCCCCAGAACAAGAGGGACCATTAATGTAGCCACATTTCAAGGTCAAAGGCCTGGAAATTCTCTGAAGAATTGCTGGTGAGCGTCCACATTGAAAGACTGAAGAAACTGAAATCTGATATCCATGTGTGATGACAGCAGCAATAGAAAAATCACCTACATGTGCTGGTGGGCTTCCTCCTTCTTCGTGTTTTGTTCTATCCATCCCCCCAGTGCTGGACAGTGCTACCCACATTTCAAGGGTGGTAACCATTCCCCTAGTTTGCTGTTCCACATGGCACTCAGCTCTGGAAACTCTCACAGATGCACCAAAAAAAAAAAAAAAAAAAAAAAAAAAATGTGCTTTATTCATTTCCTAGTCATTTTTCAATCCAATCAGGTTGACAATAAAAAATTAACCATCATACCCCCTTCTTCTTTCACTTTTTGTTTTATAGCTCTCAATTAGTACCTGGCACATTATGCTTGGCACAATATGAATTTCAATAAATGATGTATAACCGAAAGAGAATGAAGAATTAGAAAAGCTTGATAGGGTAGGCAACTGATGAAATCCCTTTTAAGAACTGGCTAGAGTAAAAGTAAGATTTCAGCAAGTTAAACAGAAAATGGTAGAAGTCGGTACAGATTACATATCAGTGACTGTTGAGCAGGAAAAGAAAAATAAGATTAATAATAAAGAGGAAGCAGAAGCAAGAGTGAGTTAAACTCAAATATGAAATGTTTGAATATCAATAATTATTATTCATGCTTAACTCCCATATTCTGGTCACTGGATTTTACATTACCTCCTGTATCTTTTAATTTTTATCAACTATAAAATACAACATTTCTTTTGACTTGTTTCTAATAATATTAAGCCACAGAAAGAATTGTTTTAAATAACAATAATCTAGCAAATTAGTTTTTGGGTGATTTTCTTAATAGCAGAGCAAGAGTAATATGCTTAAACTTATGGAAACAATTATATTTAGGTATCTATATTTGTCTATGTATTGTTTATGATTAACTGCTTACTACACTTCAAACATTATCACACTTAATAACCTATTAAATATCTACTCTATTTGAATTTAGCATTAGTTACCTTAAGCCTTAAGGTATTACTTATTGTTCTTTGTTTAAGTTCATTCTTTTATTACCAATGGATGTACTATTGGGCTTCCTTTTATACAATTCATTAAGAGCAGACATAGAAGATACTGTAGTTTGCTAGTGGCAATCAGGAATATCATTAGTGTCTCAAGTGGCAATAGCAACAGATGCTTGAAGTACTGTTAAGCTTAGCTTATCGGACAAATGTAAACTTGTGCCTCATATCTTGAAGACTGCTGTTTCTTGCTCTAACCAGGGTTGTAAAGAAAACTTGGCATATATAAGAGAGACATGAAACCAATGTTTTTCATGAGGCTTAGAATAATAATTTAATGAGAAAATAAAAAAAAAATAGCCCAGACTTAAGATTGTAAATATCTGCTTGTTTACTAATTGGGCTAGTATAACAAACACAAATAAAGTCAGCTGCAAAGTTAACAGGAGATAATATTTCTGCCAAGAATACGGTGAAGCTATAAAGTGTAACAATCGTCTTTGTTTATTTTCTTTATCACTGAAAAATTTGTTCTTTAAAATTGTACAATTTAAGGAAACATGTTGCTTGAAATTATATCTGTAAGAATGAAACATTCTACTCTTGCTTGGAGGATCTAAGTTACTTTGACACAGAGTAGCAGTCTCAGTGTCCAACTTAACTGGTAAAGGCTTGCTTCATGGAAGGGGCACCTGAATACAACATTCTACATATATAGTAACTTTGTAATTTCCAAGAAACAGGACCCTGACATTATAGTCCAGATATGATGTTGACCTCTTTACACACAGCCTAGCTTTGATTGTCATACACTCTTAAATTTCACTTAAGTCCATCCTTCCCCCCAATTCTATAAATCTTATTTCCTTCATTTCCTGAGATATCTTATGGTTCCTCTGGTATTCTATTTTCCTCATCAGAATGGGTCAATGAACTTGACCTTGGCTGTGGTTTGACAAGTTTGCCCCTGGTGGTCTTGGGATGATTTTGTTAGGATAGGGGTTTAACAAAACCTAGTCAAGTTTCATATCCATGGAGTAGAATGTCTTTTGTAGCAATAAAAACATGTAAGAATTAGCTCACACTAGTTAACATCCTCTAGTGAAAGCAGAGATTATAGTGGTTGAAGTGCCTGCTTAATGTTTTTGAGGCCTGTTTTCCCAGGATCAGAGAGAATGTCTGGTTAGATACAATCAGTGGCAAATGTTGACGATAAGGACTCAGGCTCAAGACTTTTGAGGTATATGTAATGCCAATTGTACTAGATTTACGCAGGAGGTAACATGGAAAGCAACGAGAGAAGTCGAATTTATAAAAGTTGTTGAAAGGAGCTTCTGTGCTTTAGGAAGTCTGGTAGCTTCTCTAATAGCTCTGACAGAAAAGAACCACCAAGGCAACTCCAAATTTTTATTTGCCATCTATGTGAGGACTCCAATTCCCAGAAGGCAATGCTCAGTTCCCTTGACTTGGCTTCTTTAGCCGACTGGGAGTTGAGGTTTACAGAACTGCGCGTTGGACAGAGTTTCAACACTTGTCACGAAGTACTAAATCGTAGAAGCCTCTCCTCCATCCTGCTCTTCACTTTTCAGGAGCAGCGCGGATCCTTGCGCCTGATCTCGGTGCTCTGCAGGGAGGGAAGCCGGCTGGCTGGCGGCGGCGGGGCGCTCTAGGCCGAGCGGTGCCGTCTCTATGGTCGTGGGGGCGGTCCCTCGCGTCTTGCGCTGGGTGAGCGGAGGGAGCGCGCGTCAGTTCCGCGCCGGGCTGTCGGAGCGCCATGGCTGCTCCCAGAGGTGAGGCCGGGCTGCAGGGAGTGGTGGTGGTGTGGTAGTGCGGGCAACATTGGGCGGCAGGATACTGCCAGTGCTGCTCCGCACCTGTCGGGCGGCGGTACCCTCCGCGTCGGTGGGCCCTTGCCCGGCGTAGGCGTCGGGTGTCAGGAGTTGGTGTTGACTCGCTCGCTGGTGGTCAGTACTGCCAGATTCCCGCTGCGGCTACCCTCTGTACGACGGGCTCTGCGGGCTAGACTGCACCAATTTCCAAGAGCTGGTAGTGGGTGGGAATAGGATTCTGTCTGGCCAGGGCTGCAGAAGACCCGGAGGAGGGCCGAGGCGACGGCCCCGGGCTGGATCTGCATCACCCATCATGAGACTGGACAGTTCCCTGTCCTGGTCGGCGCCACCCGCTGAGGTCTCCGTCTGTGCCTTCTGCCCTATGGGCGGACGTTCAGAGACCTAAACATTATAGAGACATTAAAACAGCACTTTAACCATATCGAAATGGAGAAAGCTGTCGTTAGGAGTTCTTCCCAAGGAAAATGTTGTACGTAGTTAGAAGGAATACTGGTATTTTGGGTGAAAAATGAGGTTCACTTCCCTCCCCCAAGGGATGACATATTAGAGCAATAATATTTGGTCACTAATTGCCATTTAAAGAAGGTGAGTCTAGTTAACTCCGCAGCACTTGGGTTTTGCTAGAGGTTTATATAAGTTGGGACCAGAGCTGAATTTTTGTACTATAGATTAGTAGCTAGGAGAGGCTGAATGACAGCTTTGTACCTTCTCCACCCTTATACCTTCTCCACCCTTTCTTCATGGAGCATTGAGCTTCACCACAAAATAAACGAGCAAATATTTAAAGAATACCTTTTTGCAAGAGTGCCAAGTTATTTACCTTGTTGGGAAGTCTACATTTATCATCAGGCCCTGCCCAGGGGCGTTGTCTGTAGTTGCATATGCTTCTCTTATGTATTAGTCCATTTCAAATAAATCTTGAGTGTTTTCCCCCCTCCCCCTTGAGTCTTTTGTGTAGCAATACAGGACATAAAGGAAAGAACTGTTTTGATAACAAGCATAGAATGGGGATAGCAAGATTAATGATAGATTAACACTTAAAAATTACAGAAGTCAAATCATTACCCGAAATAATAACAATTGACAGATTCAGGTTTATTGCCTGTACATGTGCCTGACTCTGATATACCTGTGGAAATGTATAATCCTAACAAAAATTAGTTTCCATAGCTTCCTGATATTCACAAAGGATTTATCTGAGATCAGGTATTACAAATAATGTCACCCCTAAAATATGATGGGAAAAAAAAATCTAATTCCAGAGTGTAAGTTTCTTTCTGGGACATTGCTCACACAGAAAAAAATTTTGTGTGGGAGCTAATGGGAGCTTTGTGAGAAGCAGGGCACAAAGTAGGGTTAAAAAAATGTGGCTGCCAGTTGAGTTGTGGACTTGGTTTGTAGTTACTGGCCTTGGGCATGATTGAATTCACAGGAAAGTTTAAAGTGAATCCCCAAAAGGTTAACATTCCTTATAATTGAAATTTCATTCAGGACAATTTGTGAATGGAATGTCAGAGGCAATCATACTTAAAATCTTAGTTTTAAAAAGTTGAAATATGTTTCTAAAATGGCACTACATACCCCAATTCTACATGTTTTACAAGTATCTAAACTTACTATTACTTTCCTACTTATATAACCACTAGGCAGATAGTTATTTTTTTTTTGAAGTTGATGACAAAATAATGTTCTAGGTCAGAATATGTTTCTAGGCTACAAATATTAGGTTTAGTGTTTAAACATTCACTCTTATTTTCAGAATCAGGACACTATATAAAACTAAAATAAAGTAGATTTGAATTTGGCAGTTCTAACCTCTCTTTGTGAAAGTATTGATAATCTAGGACACAGGTGGGCAAACTTTCTGTAAAGGGCTGATGATCTTTGTCTAACTACTCAGCCCTGAAGTTGTAGGACAAAATGTAGCCAAAACTAATTGTAAGGAGATAAGTGTGGCTGTGTTCCAATAAAACTTTATTAATGGATGCTGAAATTTGAGTCATATAATTTTTAAGGTATAAAGTGTTTTAAAAATTTTTTTCAACTATTTTTTAAGAATGTAAAACCATTCTGAGCTCACAGGCCAAATAAAAATGAGCAACAGTGTTGTTTGCTCTCCCCAATCTAGCGAAGTGCTTTCTCCTGTACTGATTAATTCAACGTTAGTTTGTTTTTTGATTAATTTTTTTTGAGGTCTTCGGGATTGAAACTGGCCCTCACTTATGCTAGGCAAGTGCTCTGCCACTGAGCTATACCTCCAGCCCTATTGCTGTTCGTTTTTGAAGTAATACATTTTTCCCTGCTGTTGGAAAGTTTTAGAACAAAGCAAGTATTGTAGTAGTCTCCTTTACTTCCTTTTACACATTGCTTTTTGGCTTCTCAGATCTTTTGGAAAGAAAGCTTAAACAGTTATAAGATCCATTTCTTCTGTTCTACCATAATACTTTAAGACCTGTAATTTTAAAAATTTGCCTGCTACTTACAAATTTTTAATTTACTCTCGGGGAAATATGTAAATCAAAGAAACTGTTTCCTTGGTAGGTTATTCTATGTTAACATATTTAAAGGTAATCTCTTTGAAATACCTATTTTATTTTCCAACAAAAGTCATTTCTGAATTGTGGTTAGGCTTCCAAAGCAGTGAACAACAGCACATTTAGCACAAAGGTTAGTTACAAAAGCAGCCTGGAGTCACCCTATCCATGTCTCTCTGATTCTTAACCTAGAGTTGGCGAAGCATTGACCCACTGGCCAAATCAGCCTCCTGTTTATTTTTGTATGGCCCATGAGCTAAAAATGTTTTTGTTTTTGTTTTTTTTTTTTTGCTTTTGTTTTTAAACAGATGAACACTTGCAGTTGATCTCATGACAGAATACTGGAGTTTGAACACTAAGTAAACAAAATAGAACCTCTCCCAAATAATTCCATTCTCATGACTGGATCGCATTATACTAAATTATAATTTATATTACATGAAATCCCAAATTTTTTCTTGAAAGAAATAATTGAGCCTTGGGTGTTGGCAGTGTGAGAGTAGGAAGTATGAGAAAAACCTGGTACCCAGCTTGTGATTTTATTAAAATGGTAGAATTGACTCTGGTGCTTGAATAATAGCAGCTGCTAAAATATACTTGCAGGCAGTTTTTAAATTGAATGTCTATAAGTTATGTATTTCCTGCATTTCAAGTTTTGTAGAGCTTTGTTCTTAATCCTCTTTTTTGTTATGAATTATTTTTTGTTTAATACAGTGAAATGAGAGGCTAGATATAATTTTTGATTTTGAAAAAGTTCTATTTTGTCATTCAATTATCCCTTTTTATTTTCTGCTGTATTTAAATTTGAAATATACATTGCAATTGCTTTCATGCTTTGCTTTCAAAGTTTGTAATCATAAAGATAATTACAATTATAATTTATAATAAACTAGTTAGTATGCCACAGAACCTTGCAATCAATTGGAACACTGAACAAAATCTATACCTAAGTGGTATTAATATGTAAAGTCATCTGTGTTTCATGTTCAGTTAATGGAAAGTATTATTTCAAAATAGGATTTTTGACAACTTAATAATTTTCCCTAAATAATTAGGATATATATTTTTTCATCAAAAGTAATATTTCATGTTATATTTTCAAGAAGGTAGTGAGGTGTGTTGGTGGCTGATGTCTCAAAATTGCTGAAAAAAAGGGAAATTTTCCAACTTTGGTACCATGTCCTTTTAGATAAAAACCTCATTTAACTGGAATACCTATGGAATGTAATGTGTGGTTCTGGTTAACGAAAGTTAACTGGCTGGCTGGGATTGTGGTTCAGAGGTAGAGTGCTTGCTTGGCATATGTAAGGCATTGGGTTCATTCCTCAGCACCACTTTAAAAAATAATAAGTAAATAAAATAAAGGTATTGTGTCCATTTACAACTGAAAAAAAAAAGATTAACTGGCAAATACTTTGTAATAATGATTATACAAAGTACTTCTGCCTTAAAAAGTATGGTATGCCAGAGATAAGTTAGATTTGAAGTATTTCACATGCTACATGTATTGTACTCATTTAAATTATATGTAGGTCTGCCTGGGCCTGGTACAAGAAATGAAATGTTTACTGACATTGGGACAGTACCTGGAATTAAATATATATGTATGTATGTATATGTTTAAAATGTATTTTGTGCCAGAAATTGGAAAGCATTTTGGGCTATAACTAATTGATTAGCTTTTATATACATAATATTGTATATAAAAATATTATTATTTTTATAATAATATTTTTGTTTCACATATTTTCCAGAAAATGTCAGTTTACTATTCAAGTTATACTGCTTGACAGTGATGACCTTGGTGGCTGCAGCTTATACTATAGCTTTAAGATACACGAGGACAACAGAAAAAGAACTCTACTTTTCAACCACAGCTGTGTGTATTACAGAAGTTATAAAGTTATTGCTAAGTGTGGGACTTCTAGCTAAGTAAGTATAAACACTTTCAGTGTGTTAAATTATTATTTTCTATCTTAGTTAAGGTATTATCTTTATTTGAAAATTCAAGCTACATCATTTCATGTTTGATTGTTTTAGAGCAGTGTTTCTCAACTAGGGGTGATTTTGTCCTCCAGGATAGATTGGGGGATGCTGTTGGCATCTTATGAAGTCTGCAAGAATGCTGCTAAATATCCTACAATCCACAGCAGCTCTCTACAGTAAATAGTTATTCAGCCCCAAATATCAGTAATGCTGAGGTTAAGAACCCTGCTCTACACCAGGGGTTGGCAAACTCTGGTCCATGGGCCAAATGCAGCTTGCTGCCTATTTTTGTTGCAATAGAGACTGTATGTCTCAGATAGCCTAAAATATTTACTGTTTGACCCTTACAGAAAACATTGCTGACCTCTGTTATAGAGGATGTAAGGATTCTAATAAACATTTCTTAAGTGTTTCCTGTATGAAGTGCTAGGCACTGTGCTAATTGATTTTCATGACATCTTTTTTATACTTGGGATTGAACCCAGGAGCACTTACCACCGAGCCACATCCCCAGCCCCTTTTAATATGTTGTTTAGAGATAGGCTCTTGCTGAGTTGCTTAGGGCCTCGCTAAGATGCTGAGGCTGGCTTTGAACTTGCAATACTCTTGCCTCAGCCTCCCAAGCGCTGGGATTACAGACATGTGCCACTGTGCCCAGCTGATGGGGACCTCTTTGAATCATTAGGACAGGTCATAGTTCATACAGGCTCAAAATGTGTATTGGTGAGAGTGGGGAAGTGGTAAGGAATAGCATGTATGTAGGCTTTAAAGAAATAGACAAGTTACATTTAAATAGTTCCAGACTCATTTCTAGATTCTTAAATTTTTATTGAGTAGTTCCTATGTGATAGTTTTTATATTGAATGCTGGTATATAGCTATAAATGAGCTAGATATGGTCTCTCCCTTCTTGGAATATAGTTTTAGTGGAAGAGACAAAAAAAGTAAACACATGGTTTCAAATGATCATGTGAAAAAGAATGATTTGGGGAGGGAAAAAAGAACAAAAATTACTTAAAGTTGGATGGTAGAAGACTTTAATATATTTGAATGTAAAACTTATCTAGTAGGCAGAGATACTGAGGAAGCGTAATTTATTAGATTTGCAAGTACAGTAAAATCCTGCGTTATGTAAAATTCTTTCACGTGAAGATTTTAAATGAGATGTGTAATCATACCTTTATTTTTATTTTTACTTTTTTAAAGAGAGAGAGAGAGAGAGAGAGAGAGAGAGAGAGAGAGAGAGAGAGAGAATTTTTAATATTTATTGTTTAGTTTTCGGGGGACACAACATCTTTGTTTGTATGTGGTGCTGAGGATCAAACCCGGGCCGCGCGCATGCCAGGCGAGCGCGCTACCGCTTGAGCCACATCCCCAGCCCTAATCATACCTTTAAAAGGCAGCGTTTCACATGCAAATATCTCCATGTTTAAAATTCCAGAACAAGTTCCATTTAACAACCTTTGAATTCATAAATTAATAGAATCTTAAGGCTTAGCTCTTTTTTTAAAAAAAATTTTTTTAGATGTTGATGGACCTTTATTTTATTCATTTATTTATATGTGGTGCTGAGAATTGAACCCAGTGCCTCACACATGCTAGGCAAGCACTGTACCACTGAGCCACGACTCCAGCCCAAGACAGCTTCTTTTAAGAAAAGTATAGGGTTCCCCAACTTTCAAAGCGACAAAAAACTGTAACTCAGGAATTAAATAGGACTGTCAGAGTATAATGTTAGCTGTTTTAAATTGTAAGACCAAATCATGGTTCAGTTTGTCTTGTAGCTGTTACAAATTTTTAGAAACCAATAAGAGAGTAAGAAACCTTTGGTATAACAACAGTTGTGCTAGTTTTCTGCCAATCCACCTACATTGATTTTCTGTTTTATTTTGGTTCTTTTCCAGGTTTGCATTGTTTGGTGTTTAGTATTTCTTAGTTTTGTTTATTTATCAGTGTTATGAGTATGGTTAAGTGGTTTTGTGGAAAATTTTTTTGGTAATTATGTCAAAACAAAATCACAAAAATTTCTTAAAATTGATCAGGCTAGTCAAATGATGGTGCTGAAATAACAACAGTGTGGAAAAACCAAATACTATACTTCATCATCATTATCAATCAATAGTTGCAGTGTCTGTTGCCAGCAACTTGCACACAAAGACCAGGCACAGTCAGTAAAAAAGTAAAGAATTATGAGATAGAGTTTTGGTTTTGACATTTGATTTTATGTAACTATCAAGAATTTGGTCATGGAGAAGAATAATTTAAAACACAAGGAATTTATTAGAAAAGCAAGCACATACATAAAAAAAAAAAAAACTTAGTGTGAAAGAAGTGAAATGCATTTGAAACTAGTAAATTTTAGGCTAACTATTAATTTTCATGGAGAAATTTACTGAAAAAATACTATTTATTCAAAATACATTGGTTAAAAACTGAATACCAAATATTCATACAAGAAAAATGTTTTTTTGGGGAACATTTTTGGGTTTACTTTTATGAGGATATCTGAAAATATTAACTTACAGAAATGGTAAAAGAGTGAAAGATAAAGAATTATTTCAAATTATGAGGTCACAGATTTGTGGCTGCAAAATGAAATGTTATAGAACATTGTGATTGCTTCTTCAGCAATATATGATAAGAATGGATAATGAAACTAAAGTACAACTATCAGTTTGGGAAAGATACATAGTGAAAATGCTGAAAATTGGTTGTGTATTTGAAAGGACAACTAGCTTGTAATAATTCACCTGAAGCAATTGGATTATGAGAAAGATGAATAAAATAATAAGACTCTTTTGGCCACTAAGAATGTATTGGATAGTTAAGAGTTGCTGCAAATGGAAAACTTCTAGGTTTAGTGGTATGAAGTGTGCAAGAAAGTCAAAAAAGACACTTCAACACCAACATTTCTTTGTGCACATGTAAAAGCAGGTCATTTAAAAAAATAAGTAGTTCAAAGGCAGACAAGGTGTTAAATAGTTTGTTAAAAAACACAGTTTGGATGTCAGTACTTTGCTGTGATGGTGAGATTTCTATCACAGAAAATATTTGTTACTTGAAAAATTTATGAGATGGTCTGTTATATACAAGTAATAAAAATTGTTATATTTGAAAGCTGTTTCTTATATAATGTTAAAATAATTTTCTAGAGCTAAATGGTGAAATTAGTTTTTTCTTTGTATTTAAAATGGAAGTAATACTGTTATCATTTGATGGTAAGGATGACAATGTTGAGATATTATGGGAGAATGTAGAAGGATTACATTAGAAATAACTAAAGGTCTTGGGTTACTATTTAAGTGGAAAAAACTTTTAAATGAAGTCAAAGCTTTTTGCTTTCTACCCACTCTTACCCTATTATGAACTACAACAATTTTGTGGAGTTGACACAACTATTATCCTAGAACTTCAATTTTATTTGAACTATGCAAAGTTTAATCTCATTATAGAATCCTTCAGCTTGGCTGTTTATTTAGCATGGTCCTTAAGTAATGCTTTTTTACTTAATAATATGTTTAGTCTTGGCTAATTATTAAAATCTGTATCATTTTATATTATATATAATTTTAGATAGGGTTGGAGGACAGAGACTCATTGAAGTGGCACCAGCAATTCTTAGCATTTTATAATTAAATTTCACGTACAGAGAAATATCACTGCCACATCCAAATAATCAGTGCTTCATTCCTCCAAACATTTTAAACATATAATCATGCTAAGATTGTTTCAAGATATTGTTAATAAAATGTAGTGGATCCTGTGCATTGGTGTATGTCTGAAATCTCAGCTACTTGGGAGGATGTGGAAGAAGAATCCTGTTTCAGGGCAGGTTGAGCAACTTAGTGAGGCCATCTCACAATAAAATAAGGGTTGGGAATGTAGCTCATTGGTGAAGTGCTTGCCTAGTATGTGTGAGGCTCTGAGTTCAGTTTTTAGGACTGGGGGAAAAAAAAGGTAATGGGGTAGTTAGGTTCATTCATTTATTTAGCAGATATTTATCAAGCCAAAATTATAAGCTTAACACTGTTCTAGATGCAAGAAGTAAAGTTGCAAACTAAAAAGGCATAGTTCTACCCTCATAGAATTTATGGTATATTGGAGACCAAATATAATAATAAGAAAAAAGTTGGTGGTATTATGAAGGAAAAGTAGAAAGTACTGTAAACAAATATAACAGAGGGACTTTATTGGATTGGGGGGTTTCCTCTTTGAGGAAGTTACAATTAGCAGTAGACCTGAAGATTGAATTACAAATTAAGTAGAGAGGGTGCAAAGAGAACAGAGATTCTTAAGGCAGAAAAATTCATCAGGGTATAAAAGGGTAATCTTGTGGACCTGTTAACAGATTTAGGGGTTTGATCTTCAGCATAATCATTGAGCAGTTTAAATTGGGGACTAACATGGTAGCCCATTTTGCTTTGAGAGTCACATTTACCCTTTTAAAGGTATGGATTGGACAGTTTGGAAGTGCAGTGAAGTGTCTGAGTGGGAAGGAGGGAAACTTATTATAATGGCCTATGATGACAGCACAGTATTGAAGAGAAGTTAATGGATTTGAGTTCTGCTCTGGACATATAATCTATAGGACCTAGTGTTGGGTTTGTGTAGTCAGTTCTCATTATCTATAGGAGTTATATTTTATGAAGTCATCATCAGCATTGAATTAGTGAATGTGAAACTGTTGCTACTAGGGGAAATACAGGTTTTGGTTCCTATGAGCCTTTGGTCACGTTTTTTGTCAACTGTTCTATATATAACCTTGCTTTATGTGTGTTTCATTAAAGACACTTTAGCACTGTAATTTGGATCTTAACTATCCCCTAAAGGCCCATGTGTTAAAGACTTGGTCCTCAGCCTGGCACTCTTGGGAGACAGAGGAACTCTTTAAGAGATGGGGCCTACTGGGAAGTCTTTAGGACAATGAGGACATGACCTTGAAGGGGA